TAGTCATAAATAGCTAAACGAGCCAGGTTAAACAGAGGTCAGGGGGACATAGACCTTATCTGCGAAACTAACATCCACATACAAGGTTATAGATGTAAGATAAGTGTATGGAAACCAACACCCACATACATACAAGGTTACAAATGTAAGATAAGTGTAGAGAAACCAACACCCACATACAAGGTTACAGATGTAAGATACGTGTATGGAAACATGCAGGAGCAGAGTTTGCTTGTGTATTAATGGTTGTGTATGACTGGATCAGTAAAGTCTAGTCTGTCTGCTCATTTGTAGCCTCATCAGGTTAAGCAACTCTGCTTTAATGGTCATGTGCCTTCTATACCTGTACTATGGGGTATGATTTCGGTTCCCGATGCACGGGAAAGATTTGAAGCTGAATTCAGTCAGTCTTCTTCCATCTGGCGATTAATACTTTATGTTTTTATTTTGTTGGGCAGGTCACACAGATATTATTTGGAATGCAGCGTGTCACTCAGTGGAATCTAACTCATTTGTATCTTGCTCAAAGGTGAGTCCATTTTGCTACCATGAGGAATGTCGTAGTAGAGACCAACTAGCTATTGTACGTTGACACATTTGTTGTGCATCGAATATCTCCGTCAAAATGCGTACCTTGCTGATCACTGAGAGAGAATGTAGTGGCTATATGTTTAGCAACGTTCTGGTTTTGTTCTTAATCTTGCAGGATGGATCTGTTCTCACCTGGGATCTCCGACAAGCCACGCCAGCGAGCGTACTCAAGGTCTTGTCGCCAAAGCCGTCCTGTGTGGCATGGCAACCAGGTGGCATAAACATTTGCGTAGGAACGGAGACCGGCGGACTGTTACTCCTTGATGGCAGACAGGGGGCAGTGCTGATGCAGTCCCAACCACATTCCAGATTTATTCACCAGCTTGCATTCTGCCCCAACGAGTGAGATCTGCTTACGTGTACAATTCTTTGACGAAAGACTAGTGTGAGAGATGCTATACTAGAGGTGCACTTATTATATGGTGTACTGCCAATATGGCAGCTGGCATGTTAATTATGGAAGGAGTGATGCCTAGGTGGAACTAGGTGTAAACTAGTAGAGTATTGTAAATAAAGTTAGTCAGCGTAATCCTTGCTAGAAGATCTGTTTTAGCAAATTTATTCATGTATTGCATATAGTGTAAGATTTCATTGTATTATTACTGTAAGTAGACCACGTCTCTATCAGATATTTATAACTCTCTGAAAATAAAGCTCATTAAGTTTCCATTTGCAGTTCTACACTGGTGGCATCTGTATCCAATGACTGCTCTGTGATTGTAACAAAGATTAGCACCACTATACAAGCAATGTAAGTGATTGTTCCATTGTATCTGTACTATTGTTTGTCACACAAATCGGGGTTAAATGTATTAATCATGTGTGTTAATTATTTATAAATTAATTCCCATAAGGATGGGGCAAATTTTAATACTGCCTCGTAAATTTATTTATATTATATTAGCTAGAGAATAAGAATTTTCTGTATTTTTCAATCATTAATATGTTGGTGGAGATGCCATTCTTTGTCATACATTATGTATCAACTATCATCTAATTTTTACCGTCCCCTGGCAACCCAGATTCTGCTGATGGATTGGCCAGTTGTTATCCTTGTGTTTACGGAAAGACGGATGACGGAAAGAAGTTTGTTTAGCCTAAATCCATCTCTAACACACAGCCAGTACGAATGCTATGTATCAGTATGGTTGTAATTGGGGCAAAGGTTTTTGAGTACAAGCTTTCGGTGAACGACGTACATGCACTAGCATGCACGCACGCATGTATGCACGCACACATGCACACACACACACACAGCAGGTTTTTGAAAGGTCAGTTAGTTCAGGTAGTTGAATTTTTATGGGTGGTCTATTCACCAATTTTAGGGCACTATGAGAAGTTGAAGGGGCACAAATGCAAAGATTTCCTTCAATATAGGATTGTTGAGGCCGCTTAAATTTTTACAAAGACTGCGTGTGTTTGGGACGAAGAGCGATACATAGCCACATGAGATTTGTGGGAAGGGCATGGAGGCACACCAACTAAGGCAACCACTGCAGTTTATTGCCATAGATATCAGCTAACGCTCCATTAGAAGTGTTCCCAACTTTGATATCATTAATGATTAATGATTAATGATTGATAATCCTAACCCTAACCCTAACCCTAACCTAAATGACATTAAACCACAAACTAATATATGACCATGACCATATATATATGTGTTATTATGACCATTAATGACATTAAAGTTGGGAACACTCCTAATTTGGAGTATCACCCTAGATAGCATCCAATATTCAGGGACACCATGGAACGTGAGTGCCACGTTCCATGGTGTCCCTGAATATTGGATGATATCTATGGCAATAAACTGCATTGGTTGCCTTAGTTGGTGTGCCTCCATGCCCTTCCCACAAATGCTGTTGGTTCTGTGCTGAAAACAAGCCCTGTTATAGTATTTATATATATATATATTATTAGTTTTTAGTGCATCACGTGATAAATCGTTGAAATTCTATTGGATAACGTCGCATGCAGGCACTATGAAGCAATAGTGCCCGCCTGAGCGGGCACTATTACTTGCGTGACGCATTGTTATTATAACGCATTGTGTTTACGTTACGAATCTCCTGCGTCTGGGCGCCACGCAAGAGTTTCGAATTAATGGCGATTGTGTTTGTGTCGAGCGTTTTGTTACATCGAATGCACCGGCAAATTAGGGAGTATAAAGAAGGTATATAAGCATGAAAAGTAGATTGCATAGTCATGTGATGCACTAAAAACATTAATGCCTGTTGTTGGGGGCACTATGCTGTCATAGTGTTGCTTTGGGAAGGTATAGTGCCCTCAGCAACACTATGAGAGCATAGTGCCCCCAACAACAGGCATTAATATATAATTATTGTATATATGTAATCGTATTCACAGTTATGCGAACAAGGAGCACATGGACTTTGTACGAGGATTATGCTGGCAACCGGATAGCACTAATATGCTTACTACCTGTGGTTGGGACACAAAAGTACTCGCCCATACATTACCTTCACACGATGGTAAGCGCATACGATCACTAATGTACTGGTAAAAACTGGATCAGATATGGGATGCACACAATCATTGGATGGTCATGTTTGTGGTGTTTTAAAATCTTATCAATGAGTATCCTAGGTGAAACTAGGAGATTGAAATTAAAGCATTTACAATGAAAAGTCGAATTGTAAGTAGTACACCTTGTATTGTTATTTTTCAGAGAGCAGTACTCCCATTGTCATGGAGTTAGGGAGCAAGTCACCTATACTAAAGTAAGAACTAGAACTATTGCTGGTTAGCTCCCCATAGCCTCCTATCCCAGGTCTGATCGGCTAACAGATTAAAAATGATGCGTTTTGCAAGTATTACTATTGATCACAAAAACAAAATCATGCTTTCAAATATGACTCGTGGACTACAGGGGGTATATATATGCAGAAATTCTAAATTCCAGCTTTGGGTACCATTTACTATACTATTTGAGTCATATTTTTTCGTCAACTTATTTTTTTAAAGCAAATACATAAAGGCTGCTGTTAATTCTGTATGAAATGGAGTTGATAGGTATGCTATTAATTAATGGTAGGTATTGCTTAATTAATGGTAGGTAATTAATTGATAGGTGTGCTATTAATGCTAAGATTGGCTATAGAAATTGTGTGTGTGTGTTAATATTTTCATGTGTTATCTGCCATATTTTAATTGATGATTTTGATTTTGTGACTAAAATAATACGTTGGTGTAATAGGATTTAGAGTTATTTTATAAAAGATTCATTACTAGCCTCCAGATGGCAGCACAGTTTCGGTGTTCTTTAGGAACATTCTAGCTACTGGAAATAGTAATAAAATGAAATTTGGCGAATTAATGTTAATGAATTTAATGGTGTGTGTATATACTTTTCCACAATTAATTGCTGGGGATTACACACTCCATAGCAGTCGAACCAATTGTGTTTGTGATTTTTAGGAATCTTAGTAATAGCTAGGTATTTAAAGATATTGGCGTAAAAATTCCATCGTGTGTTCTTTTTTCAGAGACCAGTTCTCCAATTGCCATGAAAGTAGAGAGCAACTCACTGATACCAAAGGAAAAACAATTATTGATTAGCACACAACAGCTTGTCTTGATCTCCTACCACAGGTCAGATTCACCAAGAGATATATGACACACTACTTATGGGCATACAGCAATTCATAAAGCAAACTTGGGTACTATTTACTGAATAAAATGTTTTGACAGTCTGTTTATTGTCAAACATAGCTACATTTAGACATAACCTGCCAATGATTTGTGAATGGGACCCGGCTGTATGTTTGATAGCTCGAAAAGTATATTATTGAGTAACTCTCTTGCCTGAGTTTTGCTTAGAATCTGCTTATATGTCCATGTGTACCTGCCATATTTGAATTGATATTGTTTATATGACTGAAAGTAATGGTTTTGAAAGGTGGCTGTAAGAGGATTTAATGTTCATTTATAAAAGAAAATTCATCACTATCCTCCAGGTGGCAGCACTGTACTGTCATTCATCACCAACGTTATGACAACTAGAGGTACTAGTAAAATAACCGCGCACATTAAAGGTGTCTTCCCCCCTTAAAATGATCATGTCTGAAGATCGGAATTTCTCAGAATTGCGTTTACTGTCAGTGTTATACTTTAAATTTATAACTATGAGAACAAATGTTATAAATGGCATTTTGCATTTTGCATTCCTTATCAAGACCATATGACATCAACAAAGATTGCCAACAGGTTGCCATCATAAACTGAAAACAGAGGCGTGTTCAACAGAGCGAACGCTCACAGCGAACGCTCGCAGCACAAACGCAGCGCCTCTTGAACGACACACGAGCGCTTGCTTTATCCAAGATGGCGGCCCCCATGGCGGCTGACTCAGCAGATTTTAATCGCGAGATTTTAATGTCTTCGAACAAGTACTGTTAAACGAATTAGCAGACGAAATTGATACGAATTGAATTAAGAAGTGAATGAATGAATGAAAAATTAAATGAAGTTGAAATAGATTGAAATTGAAGTCAGAAATGTTAGATTCGCATTCGCCAGATTGCCCCTCGCCATCTTGAAAATAACTCCCGCGCTGCGCGAAGAGTCTCGGGAGCAGGATCGCTCACGCTTGCGAGCGCGTGCGTGCAAGCTGCAGAGGCTGTTCGCGCATCGCGCGAGTTGTTTTCAAGATGGCGACGGGCAATCTGGCAAATGCGAATCTATCATTTCTGACTTCAATTTGCAATCTATTTCAACTTCATTTCATTTTTCATTTATTCATTTACTTCTAAAATCAATTCGTATCAATTTCGTCTGCTAATTCATTTAACAGTACTTGTTTGAAGACATTAAAATCTCGCGATTAAAATCTGCTGAGTAACCCTCCATGGGGGCCGCCATTTTGGATAAAGCCAGCGCACAGCGAGCGCTCGTGTGTCGTTCAAGAGGCGCTGCGTTCGTGCAGCGAGCGTTCGCATCGAGCGTTCGCTCTGTTGAACACGCCTCATGTCAACGTGTATTTTCATTGATAGGGTAAGGTCATCTTGTTTTTTAAATTTGTAATATTTTAAGGCTGGCATATTCATTTGTAGGTCACTTTATTGAGTACATGGATTTGACTATGATTCATTTGAAGTTATTTGCATTAGTTATTGGAAGAAAGCATCTTTTCTAGACCTATCATACAATGTTACAAAATGGCAATATGAACAAGACGTTGTAAATCCCATCATCTATTATAAGGCATTGTTAAATATTGTGAGAAATACGAATAAAAAACATAATACAGAACATTAGAGAATAATCGTTTTGTGATTTTGATTTCGGCACTGTGTGAATTCAACTACCTGTAAATTAGTCTGTAGGAAGGCTCACTCCGATTTGGGAACTTTGATGATTAGGTCAGAGATAAATGTGCTCAAGCAGTTCTCGAACGTGCGTGATCCACGATACTCTTTTTTTAACATGTGATATATTGCCAGGCTATTCTGTACGATAAAATAAGTAATATTTATCAATATTGGGTTCTCATTTGTGTAGTGATATTAGGAATACTTATATTATGTAATTTTGGTAATATATAGGCAGTAGTTACTCTGCACAGCATTATGTAACATAAAATCCTGAACCTGTAAAAAGAAAAAAAAATTATCAGGTTGCCTCATCATCCGTCGGGCGCGCCCGAAATCGTGGTGAGTGTGTTACTTATCGTGACTTTTTCGATTGCTAGGAGAACATTAGCGGTCACAACTCCTACTAATGAAACTGTATTATCCCTTATTAATGCACCGAATGTATATTATCGCATGTCTAATAGTATACATACACTCATGATCGTATGCAGTGTAAGAAATGTTTATATTGGCCCTTATCCTACTAAAATCACGGGGTTAGTTTTGTATTAGTGTAAATGTTATGAAATTAATGACAAAATTGCACTTTCGTTATGTCTACACGGCATGAACTTCAAGCAAGAAAAAACTTTTTTAAATCTATTAGTTATAATAAAAGTACACTGATATTTATGACTATAAAATTCGGAAATTTTAATAGTAGAATATGTACATGTTCACAAAAATAGTCCATAAATAAGAATTAGAAGTTGCCAATAAATGAAACAGGCAAGTCATCTTTCTCATTTACAATGTTTATACGTGGCTACGACACGTGCATGCATTGTTTATGTGGATGCCAAGTAACTGCTACTAACTAGTGACTCATTGTGTTTATGTTTATGCAAAATCAAATCGCACTCGCGTGGATTTGAACTACCCCAAGTTTTGCCCATTTATTTATATCCAAGACGTACGATATAAACTATTGTGGAAGGAGGTGAATATACAGAACTAATGTCTCTATGTGCATCACATTGTGGCAACAGGAAGGTCAACTCATTAACAAAATCGAGCCAACTAACATTAGGTTACAATACAACTCGCGACATTGAAACATTACAATTGAGTGGATAGGTAGAAATGGAATAGAATAGTAATAGAAAACGCAGGAAGAGGCTTAGACGTAGCCGAGGCCTACGCGCGCACTGCCTGTCTGTACTGCTGTTACTATATACAGCTGTTCTCTCAGTATAGTTTTCCTCAATTCTTGTCGAAAACTCGCATGGTATCAGTATAATGTGCGCACTGTGATGTTATAAATCTCGCGCAATATAAAGTACAAGACGAACAACTATATTCCATTATTGCTCCCTTCTGTCCTTTCAGTAAACATGATCATTTTTATTTTCCAAGCGTTCTATGCGCTTGCAGTGTAGTCGCGTTGACCTATTTCTTCCATAACAGTCAATGGATGCCACCGCAGGATATTTGCCATTTTGATCTTGCTCTGCGACCTCTAGCCCATTATAGTCTCTCTCGCCCATATATATATATATATATATATATATATATATATATATCAAGTGATCAACTTCTGGCTTCTCTTCAATCTTATTGAAGTGGCCACGTAGTAATCTTACATCTTCATTTATCCACTACAAAGGCTTCTCGTAATATCGATGCAGTCCACCTGTCTCTCATCTATCTACATTCGAAGTTTTCCTGCGAATTTTCGATGGGTTCTCAATATGCTCTTCTATCGATCCAATAGTTGGTTGTGTACGGTGCGCGCGAAGCTTGACACCCAAGGAGAATAAGCAATGTCTACTCTATCAGTAGCCACGAGGAAATTGAGCTGTTGCCATCGCAACGATTGTCATCACAAATCACTTGTAGGATATGTGCCTCCGCAGTGCCGCGGGCGACGTCGACGCGTCATCCACTGTTGATGAGTACGGAGCGGATAGGCCCTCTATCATTACCGGTCGCTCTGTGTTCTCCACCAGGTGAGAAAGCATTGCTATGATCCTGTCTAGCTTCTTGTCCATACTGATAACCTGGAAATCGCAAATAGCAGACGCTGCGAAGAGTTGACACGTGATGGACAATTTTATTAGTGGTAGCTGCGGTAGGTGTAGTGATAGTGCTGAGGATAATGGTAATGGCAGTGACAGTTGAAGAGATTCTTGGAGCTACGGAGGTAATTGGATGTAGTTGGAGAAGGGGTAGTGACAGTTATGCACTGGCCGTTGCAGTGCAGTAGCAGCGGCACAGTTGAAGTCAGTGTGGCTTCATGTGACTGCAATGTGGTTGCTATAGTAATCGCGGCACCAGCCCCACAGCGGCATTGTTAACCTGGTGATCAATATTAACTCGTATCTTTACCTGGTTTTCAACTCTGAGTAACCTTGCACCGATTGTCATTATCTGCTTTCCTCTTTCTCCGGGTGCAATATAGGATCCAGGTTTACCAAGTGTCTGATCCAGGCTGCAAATAATATAGCATGCACACATATATGCGTTCACTGAGCTTCCATTGTGAAATATTTTCGGCTCGTACAATTTTCTCTGAAGTAGAAAGAGAGTCGTTGTCATCGTATGCTCGCGTATAGAGCCCGCGTAATACGCAATACTAAATATAAACGCGCTTTTTCTCTCGTCTTATTTACTAATTGCTGTCTGTGGCTATAAATTAGCTGGCTGCGTCGCGTGTACCGTCTTTGAAGCTCCTTGATGCGGACCATCATGTTGAGGTGACCCTGAGAGTACTGTTCTATCACATCTCGCACGTCGTATGGCTTGCGAGCTTGCTGCTCAGCAACGAAAACACGTTCGTTATACATACACATAAGAAACGGGCAGTATTTCGTATAATACGCGTGGAACAAGATACCGTGGATAATTGTCCGGTATTAAACTCGATACCTGTCCACCTACAGGTGACAGTTGACATGACATCGCCCGTAAAAGCCGACTATAGTGTGTCACCGAAAGATTTTAGCGAACGCTACTTTTTGTATAACGATATCTCCTCTGGAGACGTGGAAATCGGTGTCATCACTAATTACGTTTACCCATTACCTTTTCTAATGAACCAGTGCATTAACTTGGTAACATTTCAAAGACAGGAAAGCGTCAGATCACGTAACACCTCGACGACGTGAGCGATGTTGTTGACGTTTCCCGATACTCATGTTATGCGTTTAGCACGTCAGATCTTTTCAAATACAACATCTCCCGAGAGTCGGGGATGTTCTAAAATTACTTACTGTCGGACGCAAAATGCGCAGGTGGGAATATAGCAGGCACAGCAGGGATTTATCATTTATGTAGTGGGAAATTAAAAAGGCCAATAAATCGTCTACTGTCTCATATAAGCCTCGTTCACACGAGACCTCGTATTTATGAAATTCGGTATTTGCGAAATACCGAATCTGAGACAAATACGCGGCCGAGCGTTCACACGCTGATTTGTGGCTCCAGAAATACGGTATTTGCGAAATACCGAATCTGAGACAAATACGCGGCCGAGCGTTCACACGCTGATTCGCGGCTCCAGAAATACGGTATTTGCGAGCTGCGAGCTGCTTTAAACAATCAAGCGAACAATGCGAAATAATACCATACATAATGCAAAATTTCCTTAGAATTACCCTTTACGAAAGGACCTTGAGCATGACAGGCCATGTTTAGAGTCCGAAAAAAAAACGTTACAGCTTGAATGGTCGGTAAATTGCGCAGTATGGAAGTATTTTCGCTCGCACGGAGAATTGAAACAACCCGCATATCGACCTCTCGCTAGCGGCGATTATACTAACCTGAAATTTCTTTCTCGCAGCAAAATACTTGATCTTCCTGAGGACGCGAATTGCAGCCTTGTGCGTGTCCGTTAGACTGTAAAAAATCGTGAATACGGTAAGATACAGTAACGATGCCTCAGTTTTTCGCCGCACTATATACTTCTACTACCTATTCCTGCTTGCCTCGTCCCCTCTAGCTATAGATATTCGCTTTCATATACCCATTACTAGGGATCAAGGAGCTCAATATAACAAGTGTATAAGGAGTGTTATAAGTTATATTTAGCTCCTTGCTAGGGATGAGCTCCCATGGGGGGTCGCACACTATACACTACTGTAGGGTATCTCGGCGAGGTAGAAGCACTGCTGATATCGAGTATGCGTACGTGCACTGATTGCCGCATTATATGAAGGGCGCGTGTAGGTCAGGAGCCAGCGGAAGCCTCTTTCGATCTCGCGCGGCCCCTTTCACGCACACACAGAGAGGAAGACGTACAATTGCACACGCGGCGTCTGGTCGAGATCGTCCATATCGTCGCTGAACGAGTCTGCGTGCTGCATCCGCGTAGGCGAGTCTGTGCCGGAGGAAGGATTGGGTATAAACGGCAGGCTGAAACGCTTGTGCAGTCGATCAACGATGGCTGCAACGGTAAGCAACACCCGAGAAAAAATGTCACCCCGTGCCATAATGAAAAACAAACAAACAAACAAACACATAAACAACGCAACAATTGCTGCTATACTCGGCCGAGTTCATTCGGTTTTTATGAATTTCAATGTTGTTTTTTTCCGATTTATTTCCGTTCGTCTGTGAAATGTACGTAAACACACACACACACACACACACACACACACACGCACACGCACGCACGCACGCACAAGCCGCGAAGCACGAGTATTGTAATTATCCATACGATGATGCAACACCGGTCGTTGGTTTGTATCGGTCTCTGCTCACTCTCCCCTGCCTTCCATAACGCGCGGTGACGCAACTGCTAATATCTGCATGTCGCGTGGTTACCGTAACAACTTTGATTGGCCGATTCATGAATGGGTCAGCGGGGTTGGGTGGGGGTAAGGAGAATGGGGGCAAAACCACCAGCGATTAGGATATGCCTAAAAGCTGCATGTATAGCCGTCGGGCTGGGTTGGGGGTGGTTATACCGTAACGCATTTCAGTGCTTCAGGCGGCAGTTTTCCTCTAGTGAGCACGCAATGTTAAAAGCAATAAGTAAAATGGAGGTTTTAAATGCTCGTAAATGACCGCCTCTCGTATTTGATCGCGCGTATTCTGGTATTGTTTCATGAGCGGGGGTGGGGGAGCACGACCACGATGCCCCCACTAGATCTGCCAGTGTGAAGCCAAGGCCGCATATGTGAGCAAGGAGGGAGCAATGCGGTGCCGCTCTGTCGCTTACGATCTGAAAGTTCGACTAGAACCAAATTAGTACTCTTGTCTCCGTACACCATACTGAGGCATATTACCGGCTGCCCTCACCTTACGTACGGTCTAAAATTTCGACCAGAACAAATTAGTTCTCCATTTCCGTTAGTTCCTGTTAGTTTTCTTAGTTCTCTGTCTCCGCACCACTAAAGCGTGTTAATTACCGGCCGGTTTAATTAAATTGACTACGTCACGAATTTTCTATGGTAAAATTTTTAAAATTTTTGTTCCCATTTTTTTTACATTAAAAGTAAAAACTAATGGGACTAAACGTATCGTCAAATTCTTACCTGATAAGATTGTTTCTCAACTAGTTAAAAATCAAAAAAACCTGGACGATTTTATATTATCAAGAGTACATAATAGGCGATTATTATAATATAATAGGAGATTATTATAATAGTAGATGATTATCTCCTATTATGTACTCTTGATATTATGTTCCTGCCATTAATTGCTTGCTATGGGCTATGTATGAGTCACGAGTGTATGTTCACATCAAACAATATAGTAAAATAGGAAGAATAATGCACCAATTGAACCATAACAGAATTACTTGTATTTTGTGAAAAAGTGAAAATATTTTTTTAATTTTTACTATTTACGGTGACGTAATCACTTTAAGGCCTCACCTGAGCTAGGTTTCGTGTCTTCGACAGAATGGTCAATCACGGTCTCGTCGGAGCTATTCCGATGTGTGAGACCGTCGTGGAAAGCCTGCGTGAGATGTGTGGGCAGATCCAGTTTCGCTTTCGACATCCTGCGTTTCAGCATGCTGGCACGCTTCGCTATTTTGTTGTACGCCGAGTTTGTACCGTAGCCTGCAGCGCATAAAACGGCACACCGGCGAATGGATTTTATGATTTTATCATGTCATAACCCTATCCTAACCCTAACCATAACCCTAACCCTAATATATCAACATGTTTTGCTTGCATCTATGACAAATGCGACATACGCATATATGCTCTCCTATGACAAATATTGGCGAGTCAACTTTACAACCGTTCCGCTTTACAGCTGAAATTCACTGCTTGCGTTCATAATAGCACTCCTAATGATGCGCACAACACATACAACAATATTTGTGATAGGAAGAATCTTCCTGTGACAAATAGTGCCATAGGAGAGCATATATGCGTATGTCGTATTTGTCATAGATGCTAGCAGAACAGGCTGGGATTCGGGCGCGGTGTGAGCATTTCGTTTTAACACGTGATCGCCATTAGGAATTGTTGCTACGCAGTTTAGGGTTACTCGCCTCTATTGTTTGCCGGATCCGGCAGGTAGATTTTCCACGTGGCTTCGGATTTGAATCGTTTTTCTGAAGCATGGCATCTCCACAAGCACTACAGCAGAGAGTTAGATAGAACCATTAAAAACTGCGACAGCGAACGCGTGACCGTGCGCGAACATGTCTATTACATAATTATAAGAACATGATTATCTCACCGTGGCGAAATGTGCACGAGGCACGTACATGATGCGGCGTGTAGAACATTCCATTGATCATTTAAACAGAAACGTACACAGCTGTAATGAGTGAAACCTCGCGGGATATTAATACGTGTCTGAGACACAAACCTATTAATTATGCACGCGTGTGTCTCGTGTGGCACACGCACGCTAACGCGAACGCACGCGAGCACGCTCTCACCGCCACTATTTCCACACCTGAGACACCGACTCGTTTCGATACGCACCTGTATCAAAGAAGCAGCAGCGGGAATTTGCCTATTAAAGTGTTTCTGCCGTTGTTTCTGTTGGACCTTCAGTGCAAAGCCTGAGCCCAGAATGCCCTGTTAAAATACAATCGCAGACGTGACAATAAAAAAAATAAACAAAAATAAAATAAAATACGTGACGATAATGGTAAGAAGCAATAAACGTTCTACTAAAATACATGTAGGCTTAAGCTGTGTGTAGGGATTATACTCGCACAGACGATATTTAGCGGTAGAAGATTATACGCAAGAAGATTTTAGATCGCAAGTGCGCCGCGTCTATGCGCAGTTGTCTATAATACCAGGAGTGAAATACACAAATTTGTAATTATTTACTCTTGATAATACTCACCAGTGTTATGTTATATTACTATGCGCAGTTGTCTAACACCAGGAGTGAAATACACAAATTTGCGATTATTTACTGCTGATAATACTCACCGCGGGCAATGCGAAGAATGATATAGCAAAAACGGAGAAACACGAGGCAACGATGCGCCCTACCCACGTCTGAGGGACGGTGTCACCGTACCCTATTGTAGTTACGGTAATCTGTAAATGAAACGGGTTGGCATTATTTCGTCGGTTCGTGCAATCGAAATACCGGCAACGGCCCGAGCCGCAGGGATGCATTGCAGTCACGTGTTATGCACAAGGTGATGCGACCACGTGAGCATTACGAAACGAAAGTTATATAATATGCGCGCACCATAGTGCAATACTAGTCCTACATGTATCGTACAATTTTGTAAAGGTACACTTAGAAGTCTAACTACCTCGTGTAAACTCAATCTCTGTCGAGGCATCGGTTATAGCGGCAGACAATGCATGTTTTATGGCGATGTTAAATTCAGCGAAACGCTATATAGCACTATTTTGGTAATACTCTAAAGTTAATTGGTAATAAAAAATTTGTATGAAGTACCGGCCTCGCGTATGTTGATAATCAAGTAATTAGAATATTATGTCAAGCTTGCACGTAATTTATTGCACTTAAATTTTATCGATTTACTTAAGAAATACTTACTACTCCCCACCAGAGGGCATCTGCATAGTTGTCAAAGTCAGCTTTGCCATCCTTGCTTGGTACTGCGTCTTTCTCGGCCAGGTAGACAAAATATGATGAAAAGATGAGACCAAGAAATCCTATGTACAAGGTAGTGATCAGTTCCTGCAAGCATGTATAATCCAATCAATGTCACCGTTTCTGCATTTCTGATGGCGTTATCGAGAAACAAATCCCATTGTAAATGTAATATGTGTTTTACAGATGTTTACATAGAGTAGTCAGTGGAGTTAGACTAGGGGCTGTTTTAGTAATAGTTTATCTAGACACAGCGTCGCGCATTTTGTGTGGCCGCATTGATGTTACAGGGAATTGGATAAGCGTGTTTCTTACGCGCGTGTGCGCGTTTCCTTGTCTCTTTGTGCAAGTTTGGATTTCTTCTTCATCATTTCTACATCAATCTTTTAATTCAACGTTACATTTTGGAGCCAGTGACAGTCAAAAACCTTGGTATTTTTTTGTGGACGCAACGTAAGGTACTCCGTTATGTCGATCTACGGGCCATACTACGCAAGGAAGATGGAGAAGGAAGAAGACACAGGAGGAGTCGCTGGGTACACTGCTGGCAAGAAAAGACGGGAACAGCAGCAAGAGTAGGAGAAACGAAGAACGACGGAGAGCGATCGAGAGAGACGAAGAATGACGGAGAGCGAGAGAGAGAGAGGGACGGAAAGAGCGAGACGCGGGAGAGAGAACGGTGGATACACACGGTGTAAGAACTATGTGAGTAAGTCAGCGGAAAGGAAGGAAGGGCGGTGTTGTATCCGTGATACTGCGAGGGCAAGTCTGAGTCTCGACTTGTGTGAGAGAGAGAGAAGATAGCACAACAGAGAAGGCAAGGACAGAGCAGAGATAGAGGACGTGAAAGATAAATTGCGAACTGTAATGGCTAAAAAGAAATCCAGGGAATTCTAGAATTTGATTAGTGGAAAGCTTTAATCTCGTGCCGTCGAAACTGGACGTGAAAGTGTGACATCATCAGGAATGTGTATTTTTATCTGTTTTTCTTTGTTTTATGTACGCGGTATTTTTTTATGGTATATGCTTGTGACCGTTTGTATTTGTGTGGGAAAATCTTTTATGTGAAACTTTGTGTAGAAATGTGTGATCGTTTTCCTTAAATTTGTCGTAACGGTACGTTTACACTATACACTATATTGTCAGACTGCTAAACACATTTTCCAATTAGAGTTTGATAGGCCTGAAACATTTAATCGAAAATATGAAATCAGTTTTGCGTTTTTTTTTTTGTTGTTGTATATAAAGTGACAAAGGTTGTCAGGTCCACATCGGTGCTGTGTGTAATAATGGGATTAAGAGGTTTAAATGAGGATGTAATGGAGCACATGGCTAAACGTGGTTTTGGTAATGCGTGTCGGTATACGCATACGCCACGTACGTTACAGCATAAAAAGACGCAAGAGTGAGAGTAATTGCAGCGATATCAAAATGTTCACTGCCAAATGTGTTGAATTTCTGACTTGTATGGTGATCAAACTTTATCGTTACTTGTTTTGTATATTTTATATTGTATATTTATGTATTTTTTGATTGTATTTTGATTGTTGTTTTGTTTGTGTATTGATTGTGGGTTGTTTCATTGGACATGAATACGTTTCTCTCGTTGGGGTTGAGTTAGGAAAGTATTAGTGTAGTTTTTTTTTTTTGAAATTGTTTAGGTTTAGGTTGAAGTGTAGATCAGCGGGGATGCTGAATCGATGACAGGGTAGTCATCGTCTTGGGGAACGGGGAGATAATGTAACATATGTTTTACAGATGTTTACATAGAGTAGTCAGTGGAGTTAGACTGAGGGTTGTTTTAGTAATAGTCTATCTAGACACAGCGTCGCGGATTTTGTGTAGCCGCATTGATGTTATAGGGAATTGGACAAGCGTGTTTTAGGTTAGGCAGATTCTCGAGTCATTGTGAAATAGGGGTGCAGATCGAGTGTAGACATGGCGGGGGTTTGGGGGAAGACAGAGATGTAGGAGTCGAGGAGTCTGGTTGTGGTCGCGGGAGTAAGCACACGCGCTTAAGGCCGCCGCACACCTACATCGCTTCATCGCTTCATCGCTTCATCGTTTGTAAAATCGGCTCATCGGCTCATCGGCTCATCGGCTCATCGGCTCATCGGTTCAAAATCAAACATGTTTGATTTGGAACGATCACCCGATAAAAATAAAATCGTCTACAAATGAACGCGCACACCTACCCGATATC